ACAATTGTCCACAATGAACAGTAGCAATAGAGGCTGTAGACACGTCGGGAGTAAGCTGGTTTTCCAGCCCAGCCAGAAATAGTTGAGATTGATCAATCATTTGTAACTGGGGATGTAATAGGGCGTAGAGTAAGTCCATAAGCGAAATAAATTTCAACCATTTCGCTTACGGTCGGCTTAAATCGGTTAAATGTCGGTCGGAGGATAATCTGAGCTCTATATATACATATATGTATATATATATATATACGATATATAAGAGATTTTTTAATAGATTTTGCTCGATCCGAAATGCTCCTAGTTTCGCACAAATTAAAAAAATTATTGTACTGTTCACTCGGAGTGATTCAGAAACGCCGCAGAGATATTTCCGCATATAATTCTCTGTATTTCCTAGTAGATCTTCCATCTGCATGATCTACATCCGCCAAGAAAATCGTATTTAAAAGTCGCGGCTTACCTCATTCCTCTGAACCGTCCTCGACTGATCCGTCGTTGCGTCGGCGTCGTGCTTGCTATCCTGTGGTCTCGCTCGTCTGCGCCGAACTTCCATCGCCCAAGATCCACGTAACAAATCCGGAGAGAAAGAGAACGTCGGATCTCTTTCCAACAGACGAGGCGAGAGATAAAAACTAGTCGCAACTAGGGGCACGTTTTTCGGAGACTCCCAGCAGGAAATGAGATGCAAAATCTGTCGTTTAAAAGATAATTCATAAAATCTGACCTCCCGCCGCTCACGTTAGCGCCGCTTGACACAGCTGGACGCTACTTGACGTTAGCGGCTGGACCTCCGAGGTCGTGACTGGCCGACTTTCTCTCCAGAGTTCCTTACGAGACGCTCTTCCGGGACACGTTTCCGGGAGTTTCGGGACGGCCTCGCTTCGCTTGGCCGTGCTTGATCAAGATTTTGCGCGATCAAGGTGGTTTTCCAAATTCCACGCACACTCCCCCGTTACTTAGGTTAGCACGAGTTTGATATAACGGTACCGTCTCCGACGATTCCGTCCAGTGATGGTTCTGCGCATCGCGCGGTAAAATTCTGCTTTTGTCGGTACGTTTATTCCTTTCCATCATTTAAATTCACTTATCTCACGCAATCCTGTAATAGTGACGGCGTGACGCCAACTAAACGTGGTTTCTTTCAAGTGGCTCTCTCGACGATTATGTTAGGTCTGTTTAATATATTTTGAACTAATGTACACTTTTGGAACTTAAAGTGAAATAGATATATATTTGATATTTGTAAGAAAGCAAGAAAGAGGATTCTAGTTCAGTCTATATAGTGCAGGATAAAAAAACAAAGTCCGGTGAACGTTCCAACGATGTAAGATTAACTTTAATCTTGGTTTATTTTACTCTTTTTCTTTTAAGAATTCTAAGAATCTGAAAAAGATAAACAATAAGTTAAACTAAAATTAATTTTATATTGGTGGAACCAGGCCATGACGATCGTGTTGTAAAAATCTCTTTACATCACGTGTGTGGGTGACGGCAATATTAATACATGACACTGTTGACAGTGATATAGAATTCGCGCGATCGTACTTTATTTACATGTCGGTCTCGTTGTCTCGTTCCTTTTTCCTTATTCGTACTCTTGAAATATGTGATTGAAATCTTTAATAACTATGCCGTTCGCTATGACCAATGCTTTTGTAACGGAATAAAAACGACACGTGGAAAGAAAATAACTCAGTCGAACAAATGTATTTTTCCAAAAATTATATATATATGTATATATATATATATAAAACAGAATTCTCGATTTTCTAAAAATAACGAGAGATTGCGATCGACTATCGCATTCAATTAATTATATTATATTAATTATATAATTTTTATGTTTACATTTTTTGAATCTTATTAATTATATTGTCTTTATATTTCAGCCTTTCAACTGTTCTGTGTCAAGAGGGATTTACAGAATTTACCTTCATTGTTTATTATTATATCTATATCATTGTAGCCATTATTGAATACAAAGAAGGAAGATTATCATTATTTTATAAATATGAATACTGATAAAGTATTATGTCCGATATGTGCCAAGGAATTCGCGTCTTCTATTATCGAGTCTCATGCCAGCAAGTGTTTATTCCTGAATGAACCTACAAAGGATGAAAATATAATGTTTAAAGACTCCAGCCCAAGGAGTATAAGAAGCAAACTAAAGCCAACAAGTGCAAAAAAAACTAATCAAATATTTGTTAAAAGGAAGAGTTCTTTGGACCAGTTTTCTTCTCAAAGGGGAGATTCTTTCAGAGATGAAGAAGATGCTAAAGATGCGCCACAGAAAAGTGTAATTTTTTATTCTAAAACTATAATAATTATAGTGTAATGAAATAAATTTACACAATCACATGTAAATGACATACAAAACTATAATGCTCAACTTTGCATTTTATAACATTCTTAATCAAATTTTTCTGCGTTGCAATAGAGAGATTCTTATATGTAATATAAAAAAATCAACTTTTATAGACAGAAAATGAATGCAAAAAGTTGCGTGGAAACGGACGGGATGTACCCCTTGCAGAACAAATGAGACCTACATCGCTATTAAACTTTGTAGGCCAAAAACATATCCTTGGACCTCGCACCATACTCTCCGAACTCTTGCAAAAAGGCGAAATACCTAATATGATTCTCTGGGGTCCACCTGGATGTGGCAAAGTATTATTGCGTGTCCTTGGAATTTTCTGTGTATATGTGATATGTATATTGGAACATATATTTAGTTTCTTTCTCTTTTTTGCAGACGTCTTTGGCTAATGTCATCGCGCATATGTGTAAAAATGATGCTAGTCGCAAGCTAAGATACGTTAAGCTCTCTGCTGCGATGGCCGGTGTCCAGGAGGTAAAGGAAGTCATTAGTATCGCTAGTAATCATGCTAAATATGCGCAGCATACGATAGTGTTTATGGATGAGATACATAGATTCAACAAGATGCAGCAAGATGTGTTTCTGCCGCACGTCGAGTCAGGAATCATTACTTTGATTGGGGCCACGACGGAAAATCCCTCGTTCAGTTTAAATTCTGCATTGCTAAGTCGATGCAGAGTGATTGTTTTGCACAAATTATCTGTCGCAAATCTGCTATCAATCTTGAAGCGTGCAGTAATTTCGCTGGAAGGTATAATACATGCATCTCCGAATAAAAGCGAAAGTACTTTGCAAGATATCGGTGAAGAAAACACGCTAGAGAAAAACAAAGTCATCGAGATGGAACCATCCTGCAATACAAAATTCATTATAGACGAACCGACAATAGAGTGGTTGACTGAAACTTGTGATGGTGACGCTCGAATAGCGCTGGGAGGACTAGAAATGGCAGTACGATGCAAAGCACCAAATGAGAAGGAATTTTTAGACGTTGGTCCAGCTATAATAACGCTTGACGACATTAAGGAAAGCCTAAAGAAAACACATATGTTGTATGACAAGAAAGGCGACCAACATTATGATACGATTTCTGCATTACACAAGTCTGTCAGAGCCAGCGATGAAAATGCTTCGCTTTATTGGCTGACTAGAATGATCGCCGGCGGTGAGGATCCGGTTTATATCGCGCGAAGATTGGTGAGGATGGCTAGCGAAGATATTGGTTTAGCTGATCCGAAAGCTCTTGGTAAATCATTTATTTACGATTTTCAAACTCACGCATAAAAATATATTTTTTATTTTTTAATAATTGGAATTACATCATTGTAAACAGGCTGATTACTATACACTCTAAAATATTTAAGGGGATTCCTCATATAAATTCAGGGCAAAAACTTCACATGACCATATGTCCGAAACGGCTTAGTTTCAAAGATGCAGGCTATCAGATTTCAGCCAATCATTGAGTCGTCTATAAAGTTAAAGAAAAAATTTCATCATGACGTCTTGTATCTTTAAAACTGAGCCATTTTGGACATATAGTCATATGAAAAGAGAGTAAACATTTTCGAGGGTTTCGCTACTGCTTAGGAATCGTTTTATTTCTATATTTTCTTTTTTTTTTTTTCATAGAAACCGAAAACAATTATTATAATGATGCCAGACTTAAGGAAAAATTGGTACATCGAAATAAAATGAATAAAATCCTTATTCACATTGCTATACAATTTCTGTCAGTTATGTTTCAATAATTTATTTATGAAATTAATTCTAAATTGGATCAAATATGAAAATATTGCATCATAAAATGTTTGATTATATTTTTCATTATAACATTTGTCATCTCGCATTCCAAGCGTTGCGCATTGCTTGGAGTAGTGTAAGAGATAAGCGACAACACAAGAAAAATATCAGGGCGCTGCGAAATTCGAACCGAAGTCTAGTCTCCTCCATACTTGTAGACTTCTATCCTACCACCAAACCACATAGCCCTGATAGCTTTTCTGTTGTGCCTATTTCCTCTAAATTTCTTATAATAGAGGAAACAGTATTGAGAATATTCACATTTGATGCAATTTGGAATTAATTTCCTAAATAAATTATTGAAATTATTTTATAATGATTTGAATAAGGATTTTATTCATTTTATTTCGATGTACCAATTTTTCTTTAAGTCTGGCGTTATTATAATGATTATTTTCGGTTTCTACGTAGAAACATACATAAGAAAACAGAAATAAAATGACCTCTGGACCCTGAGTAGTCCAGCACTCCTTGTGGAAGCAAAACCTTCGGAAATTTGTACTCTTCTTTATATAGTATAAGAAATCACCTTAAATCTTTTAAAGTACTTAGCAACCTTGTATAATAGATTTGAAGAATGATTATTTATGATAAACACACTTAGGCTTTACTAGATCTGACAAATATATTTGATAATAAATATTGTGTACAGGAATAGCAGTGCATACGATGCACGGCTGCAAAATGATCGGAATGCCAGAGTGTGATGTTCTCTTGGCACAATGTACGACATATTTAGCGAGAGCACCAAAATCCAGGTTAATGGAAGATGCACTTAGAGCTGCTCAAAAAGTGATAGCTGAGCATAAGGGTCCACAACCAGGAGTGCCTTTGTATTTGAGGAACGCCCCCACAAGACTCATGAAAGATTTGGGTAATTATTTTATTTTTCGTATCAATTTTTGCTCTTGATAAATCAAATAATTATTTTAGGGTATGGTAAGGGATATAATATGATGAACAAGGATGAATCTGGATTAAGCTACCTGCCAGAAGGATTGGAAGATTTAAATTTCTTTGAAGATGATGACGACGATAATTAGAAATGCTGTGGTAAATGCTTTAATTTAGATATATTTTGTTTTTGTATTGTATTATTTTTTATTACAAAAAGGTATTCTTATTATTATATTTTATAAGTTTTATATTAAAATCTTATATCTCTCAGGGATTAAAATTTTAAACATAAACGTTAATTTAAGCACATACGCATATATATGTATATGTATATATAAAATAGTTTTACTTATTATTAATTACTAATAGTTATATGCGTATGTATACAAGATGTATATACAGGATGTATATAATATTGTAGCAGTATTAAACATATTTGTAACAATCGCGCGCTTGTACGATAAAAAAAAAGTTATGCTTTAACTTTGTAAAATAAAAATAAACTTATACATATATATTTAAGCTTACAATTAGGGACAATTTTTTGTTCAATTATATAATAAATCTGATGAGTTTCGATTATTTATAAATGAGCACATTTTTTCCAAATTATCGTTTTATTATTAGCGGGCATATCTACGATTTCTATTAATGTAATATTATTCTCTTCAGCTAATTTTTTCAAAACTGTTACATCCCGCAAACCCCAATTTGGATCCTGCAATTTCAAAGACTCGTTGAAATCTACATTACTCTGCGGAGTGATTTGACCATCAAAAGCATATGGTCCATAGGTTATTAGTAATCCATTTGGTTTCAGCAACTGATTCGCATTGTTAAATAAACCAATAGTACACTGGTACGGCGAAATATGTATCATGTTCGCATTATATATATATTCTAAACTGTTCGATTTGAAGATACCGTTACCCCATAACCGGTAGTCAGTGGTGATGTCAATTCTAATGGGGCTTTTTATATTAGAATATCCATTCGCGTACGCAGCGATGCTATCCAGAAGTTTTGGGTCGTATTCCGAGGGGTAAAACGTAACTTGTGGAAAATGCGGTGCGAAATGTGCCACGTGTTGTCCCGTACCGGATGATATCTCCAGGAGAGTCTGATTTCTGCCAGGTTGGATATACCGTTTTAAAACCGATAATATTGGATCCTTATTACGGTCCGCTGCAGGGTAAATGAGTTTTTTGGCAGCCATAGCGTGTGACCTTGAAGAAATTACAATTTCACTTCCTACAGAAAATTTGTAGATGCATGTGTTATTATAATATTACCTGCTGTTATATTGCAAAGCGACGTGTATATAGATTTCGTAAAATTTATTAAAATATATCATGTTATTTTTTTTTTATCTTGTGTATATCCATATTACTTTATATCCCGATTATTTTACTTTGAAGACTTAACTTATGCCACTTTGAAATTAAACAGCTCAAATAAGATGTAAATGCTCGTTATTTTTAAATGTGCATCTCACCTGTGATTAACAGCGTAATGAATAATATTCATTTATATGTATTATGCTTATAGTCGTAGCATCTATAGCAAGAGATTGTACATCCTGAAAAAACGCAAATATTTCTTTATACTATTATATAAAATATAATTTTATTTTCTTAGGAAATATAATCTGATGTGCACACAGTAAATCCTAACCATTGAAACTTTTTAGGAAATGATTATCTAATGCTTAGGAAAAACAGTCAATTAAATTAATATTTTGTTAAACTTAAAATATTATAGAATGAAAAAATAAATAGCACGTTGATATGATAAAGAATGAAAACAATATTAATTTAATGATAAATGGTACTGATATTTATTAATGGATATTTATAATACACAACCAATTATAATGAAATTAGTTACATTGTATATTTACGATATATAATTTTCATTCTTACAGTTTGTCGAAACACATTTACATTTGATTGCTAATCATCGTCTGATCTGATAATATCTAAATTGATAATATTGTCTTAAAGAAATTGGAGGTCATCACTAACTAAACTAAAAGTATTTTAATAGGTCTTTGTACAAGATATGTACACAAAAACGTAATTCCTATATAGAATCCTGAGGGGGTGTGTATCATACACATAAGACATCTTTCATATCAATTATAACAAATTAAACTTATTATTTAATTATGATAATAATTTGACACTTCTTAATAAGTTGGATTCAACGTTTTTTCTTATCTGAGTCATCTTTTTCTTTAGATGTTACTTTTTTCTTCTTCTCTTGGCTCTTTTTATTTTTCGATAATTCTGGTATATATACGGAGTGTCCAGTTTTTTTTAAATGCTCAAATAATTTATTTTTGCTAGGAAATTCGGATGAGCAAGAAACACAGCGATGAGCTAATTCATCCATATTCACGATCGGATCCTTTTTATTTTTGCTCCTGTTCTCTCGTTCCTCTTTTTTAGAATTTTTCTTTGCTTTGTCGGTTTTTAGTCTTTCGCTAATAACACTTGCTTCTTCCATCGCTCTACTTTCTGTTTCCTCTATTTCTTGTTCCTCTTCTTTACGCGTCTCTTCCTTTCGCAACTGTTTATTTATTTCCACTTTTCTCTGTTGTAACTTTTTTCGTTGTTTTTTCGACAGCCATATTTCCTCCTTAATGCTCTCCGTGTCGTCATCACTAGCAAGTTCAAGCATAGGATTCTGAATATTACGTTTTCTCTTCTTCTTTTTCTTCTGACGACTCGACAATGCGTCGTCTTCGTCCTGATCAGACATTAATTCATCCTCGGATGTTATGTCATCATCTTCATTTTCCACTTTAGGTGAAAATGATGTACTTTCGCCCATCTCTGGTGCTGCAGCCAATAGGACATCTCCATAGTTGTTTATCTTCTTTTTGTCGACTGTCGATTGAGAACATTCTGGATTTTCCTCATCGTCCGACATCAGTTCGGCAGGAGAGATATTACTATTATCCTCGTCATCGTTTCGTCTTGAGTCTTTCTCGCTACAAGGAAGGTTTAACAAGAAATCGGGCATCTGTGAATCTGTTGCCAACCTGGGTCCATTTAGCGAAACTGATTCTTCTTTTGTACTCGAATCGCTTTCCCGAGAGCTTTCATGGTCCTCGTCCTCAACCTCGTTCGGTATAACGTATTTGAGTGCACTGACATTTTCTTTATGTTTTTTTGAATTCTCATGATTCGTAAAGGCTTTGTGCGTTTGGAAAACCTTATCACAGGCGATACAGTAAAACGTTTCTGGATTGCTATTTCTTGTTGTTACTTTCCTATCATCTGTCCCAAATTCTGCCGTCAGATTCGCCTCAATGTTCTTCAACTCTGCTTCCATGTTCGAGAACTTGGACCATTCAGATTCGATCTGATCCCGCAATAGTTTCTGCCTCTCCAACAGATGTGCCTTCCTTCGCTCCTCTGCCTTGCGAAAGTTCTCACGAGCGCGTTCGGCCAGCTTCGCCGCGTATGCTTGTACTCGCTTGTCGCGTTTACGGACGAAGGCGACCAAATTTCGCACTTGCTCGTTCCTCTCACGCCTCGCCTTATCGCGCACTTTCTTGTTTTCTTTCTCAGCAATTCTGAGAATGCGTCGATTCCGTATTTCACGTATATCGTATGGATCCAGCCAAGCATAGGATCGCTTAGTGCTATAACTCTGCCAGTAAGCGTAGAAATCGCCTACCACATCTTCGTATGAGCTCTGAGAGTCGCCGAAGCTGGGAACCTCTTCGTCGGACTCACTGTCTTTGGCAAACTCAGCGTCTTCCGCTGCCAATTGCTCAAAAACGTTTCTGTAGATGGTATAGAAACCCTTCGCATCGTCTCCATAACCTTTGAAGCATGAGAGAGAGAAATATGGGAAAAGATTAATGGAGTCATCCTTGTAATCCTCTCCGATACCACCCTTCAGGATGGCCTCTCGATGATTGTCGTACCAAGCACGTTCGTGGGGGTCGCTCAATATCTCCCATGCCTGCTGGACAAGCTGGAACTGTTCTTTAGCTTCATCTGGGCTTTCGAGATTCTTGTCTGGATGCCATTTCAATGCTAGCTTCCTGTATGCCTTTTTTATTTCATCATCAGGGGCATCTCTTGCAACTCCTAATACTTCATAGTGGCACTTCATTGTGTTGCTGTATGTATGATTATATACATCTGCTGGACATAATTTCCTTACTTAAACCACAAACTGTACGCTAAAAGAATTTAAATTATTAAATTATGAAATCAAACAGCTTCTTTATGTAACTCAACAGCTAGTTTGATCAGAAATGATTTACGAGCGCACATTCACTTTGTTATACAAATATATAAATGTATAAAACAAGATGTGAAAGTATGAAGGTAAAGATATATATTATTAGGAAATCTCATTATGTTATATATATATATATATAAATGCAAATAGAATACAACCTAATTTAATTCTTTAAATTCCCTACACAATACAATTCTCTGAAGGATGGCTTTAGGACATAGAACATCCTCTGGACGTTCTTAAAACATCCCTTGTTGAATTATGTTACAGATTTTAACAGATTTTCAGATACTTATTCTTTATTCACTTTAAAATCCATTTTTTAAATTTTATCAATAAAACTCATGTTATTTAATATAATTCATGTGCTTTTTGGAAATATAAATATCTTAAAATACCTCCAATTTCCAATTCTAATCTTAATGGCTCCCGCCTTCCTTCTCAAGTATCGGAGACGATATAATCAATGATTATGTCATAAAATACTGATAATGAATGATGATTCAAGACTCAACTTGGCAAACTCTATCAAATCGAGAGAAATGACGAGGGTGACAATCTCGTAAATTATTTCGCAACAAGATTACGCATTTCGATAATTGTTTAAAATTCCTTACCTCCGATTTTGGTAAAATTAGGCTCATTCGATGCGTTTCTGTATGAAATGAAAAAAATTTAGCCTAAAAAAATGTGACCTGCCCTGCAAAGCGAGATATTAATGAGTAAAGTTGACAACTTTAGGTTAGCAAGTCTGTCAGTTATGTGTGAAAGATCTTCCCTGTTCTCGCTATGTATGAAAAGTTGTAAACTCGTGTGGAAAGTAGAATCGTTTGTGGGTTTCCAACTTGGCAAAGCAAAGCGAGATTTAATTTTACAAAATTAACTTTGATTTTATGGAAGGGTGGAGGCAGGAACCCTTCGCACATACATACCTTGTACATGTACATATTTTGTGATATTGCGGAAGGTTCCATTCTTCTCCCCTTCCCGCTCCTCTCCAAGGCGCGGTCTGAATAGTCAATTTTCATTATTAATATCTCACTTCGCGGGACTGTGTCGCATTTTTTCGGCCAAATTCCTTTGTTTCATGTAGAAACGCGTCGAATAAATTAAATTTTATCAAAATCAGAGATGAAGGAAGGGGAGGGTTCTAAACAATTACACAGCATTTCTTTTCCGCTTTATTACTATTAAAAAAAAAAAATTTTAGCGTAATCAAAATATCGTGTCAATAACAATTACGGTTTTTATTATCCATTCCAATTACTAACCAATTATTGTTGGTTGTCGATAAGAAAAGAGCTGGAACTTACCCAGAAAGATTTTAGACACCTGGTACGTAATCGATGTAAAGTAATCAAAATTACAATTGCTGAAGATGATGCGGTAATAACTATATTTATTATTACTATTGTTATTATTATTAAGGCCGTCACGACAAGGCGTAAAGGCGCGGCGCAAGAGCGCAGGCGCAAGCTTAAGGTGCCTATCCATGCAGCGGAATAGCGTAAAGGCTTAAACACAATAGGCACAGACAACAGGTGCATCCAGAAGCACGATCGCTCACTAAGCGCTCAGTGAACTTTTGTATCTGTTTGGTCTATATTTTTAGTTCTAACAGAATATGCCAATCAGATGCAAGAGCTCACTGAGCAATCGTACTTCTGGATGCACATATTGTGTTTTCAGTTGTAGATATCGTCTGCACCGTAGTGTTTTCGCCACCTTAATTGACATTAGCAGTATAGTAGGATGTTATATATATGGTTTTACTAAATAATACCGGCTCGTGAATTCCGGGAAATTCGGGATAAGAAGCGCGCGATTAATCGTTATCGGAAATAAACCTCGCGGAAAGAGGATGCTGTTGAGCAAAGTAACACTATTGTTTCGTGGAAGGACTGTCCTTAGGAAGACAGACACGATATCGAAATCTTTTCTTCGGTCGACGATCACTACGCCGTCCGGGGCAATCCTGCCCGAGCCGAAGAGAACACCGTTCAGCTTCCTGGGTGTCGTCAGCAGTGTGATATTCGGCTTGTTAGTCGGTGCCACGATCAGTAAGAACATTGCCAACTTCCTGGAAGAGAATGATCTTTTCGTTCCCTCTGACGACGACGATGACGATGACGACGACTAGCGACCAGCTAGTTTCATTCCCTTGTGATTATTTAAAATACTCAAACGATTAGACGTGCTCTTGATGCTCTCGAAGGTAATTTTTCATATATATTCATAGTATAATTTTAGCAATCATATGTGCAAAATTGCAAAAACATTATTATTCGATACTTTAATTTTTAAATATACATGTACATACATACATAGAAAAAAATATAAATATACATGTGTTTTATTTTAATTGCCCCAAGCAAATATCTCAGAAACTAAGAAAATTTTATATGAACGTTGTAAATTTTTCCGGGGGAAGAAGGTGGAAATAATGGATTTTGGATAGGAGCACTACCAAGGTTAGGTCAAGGTCAACATGAATTTTTTAAATGGAGGAACCCCCTATTTTTTATTGCATATTCTTGTAGCATATCTCGAGAGCTTTCCAAAACACTATAATAAAATTTTTTTTCATGAAATACTTTTCGAGTTATAAAGCTTGAAAGTTATAGTATCGCCGGCATTAGCATTACGCAAGGTGTCCGAGGGCTAAAACCTCTTAAATGTTGTTCAGGATCATATCCTAGATAACATTCGTTAAGATCAAGGTCATTGGAGATTGTTTCTCTTATTTTCATTTTTACACTAAAAATTCATTTTTATATAAAAATGTATATATGGTACACACAAATTCTTCATTCTTCATCTTTCATTCTGCTTAAAACATTGTTGAAAAAAATGTTTAAAAAAATTAACGTTTTATATATATAAATCGATAGAATGGCTCAATTCGAATAAATCAAATATAAAAATTAAGGAGGGCTACGAGTCAGTTGACATTAATAACATTTAATACTCAAAACCAAATATATAAGAAATACATACGTTTCGACACCGATCGGGTCATTCTCAATGTGTTAGAAAAATTAAAAAATAAAAATAATAATGTTACAATAATTATCGGATTATTCACATATTAAAATAACAATGTTTTATACGTTATATAGTAAAATTTAAAAATGTAGTCTCAGAGAACGTTGTCTGATACTGTCGATATTACACGTCTCTCTGCTCTTGCACCGCACTTATGGCTTATAATATTATAATATCCATTCCTCTTTTTAATTCCTGATACATAACAGTGTGACTGAAGAAGGTGTGTATATATATGTATATATATATATATATTTGGATCGGAAGTGT